AAAAAAAAAAAAAAAAAAAAAAAAATCCCCAATAACAACAAACCAGATGTTAAAGCAAGATACTAAGGTACTAGTCAAAGGCAGAGCAAGCCAGAGCTGGAAGAACACCACACAGAAGCAATTACAGAAACAACCGGCCTCTAGGCAAAAGCAGACACAAGGAATTCAGTGTGTAGGTAACCGTGCGGTTTCCCCGGTTAATGCCTAGTGGTTTCCTGCTTGCAAAATTAAAATAGGTACTTTGAATTTAAACACCCACTTTTCCTGAGTATCCACTTATTCAAGATGTGCCCTGCAGCTTGGAGAATATAAAGAAATTACCCCCCCCCCCAGTCTTCCAAGTAGTAGTGAAACTGGATTTCAAACAAGGGGTGGGGTGGGGGGTATGTCTGAGGCACAACACAGAGCTGTGTGTCTGTCACTCACACACGCATCCCGGAGTACTGACGGTTTGGTCAGCCTGGTAGCCGTCTTCCATGTGGTTGTACGCCAGCAGCCTCACGTGGTATTTTCTTCTGGGGTCTAGAAAGGAAACCAGCAACGCTTACTCAGACCAGCTTCCCCTCCGGCCATGGGCAGAAGCTATGGGCAGAAGCCGGGACATGGGCAGGCTTGGTGTGAGCCTTTCCATACATACGACAGTTCTCAGAACAGTGAACCTTTCTTTTCCCTATCCTCTCTCTTCCTGTGACACCACCACCCCGACTACTAGTTATCCTTAAGTTAGCGCATTTAACCCAATTTCAAACCGCCACAGGCGCTCCTCTTCAAATGACCAAATTTTCATTAAAAAGTTTTGTCTTTACTTTTATTATAAATTACATTTTATTCCTTCCTTTTGCGTGTTCGTGTGTCCATGCCACCATCCCCAGGTGGCGGCGAGAGGACCACTTTGAGTCAGGTTTTCTCTTCCCACTCTGAGTTCTGGAAATCGGTTTCATCAGGCTTGGTGGGAAGCAACTTCACCCGCTGAGGCATCTCACTGGCTTTAGTTATTCACGTTTTTAAGGATAGGGTCTTGCCCAGGCTGTCTTCAAATTCATTATGTACCAACCCCCCCCCCCCCAACACACACACACATAGTCCAGGCTGGCTTGGAATTCTACCCCCTCCTGACTCAGCCTCCCCGCCATGATGGGTCCCCAAAGGTTATTTTATACAGATGCGTTTTGCTAAGGCAATTAAACTCAAGAGTAGTGTTTTCTCCCTCTGAGGTAGGGAGAATGAGGACAAACACCTTCCAGTAGAATCTCTGAGTATTCGAAGTGGGTCTCTTACAAGAAAACTCCATTTTCAAGCCCTTACATAAATCAAGAGAGGTGAGCTGGAGCGCCCTCTACTGGTGTCCGTTAACTATCACAACAGTAAAATGAAACCCATCCCATACAGTTTTTTTCAATGTACATGAGTATTTATCTAAGTCATTTTTCCTTAATCAAATAAAACACATTCTCATTCATAGCACAGTTGAGGAATTCATAGTTGTCCTAAGGGCACATACACATATTAAAGAATAATAAAACAACTCTTAAAAATAACTCCACAGTGAATTCATTTAAAACTTGAAAAATAAACACATTTGTGAAATTCTCCAAAGTAATTTTTAAGATTTTTACATATCTACTTTAGAAATTTATAAATAAATTTATTTTTTATTTTACATGCATTGGTGTTTTGCCATGAGTGTCCAGTCCCCTGGAACCGCAGTTACAGACAGTTGTGAGCTGCCATGTGGGTGCTGGGAATTGAACCCAGGTCCTCTGGGAGAGCAGTCTTAACCACTGAGCCACTGAGCCATCTCTCCAGCCCAATAAATTTTAATATAAAGTATTAAATATATTTTAAAAGATGTCCTGGGCAGGCAAAAAGGCCCAGTGGGTGAGGGTACCTGCTGCCATGTCGGACTACCTGACTTCAATGCCCAGGACCCACACAGTAGGACAGAAAACACCGTCTCAAAAAACAAAATGTCTCTGTGAGATTGAGGCCAGTCTGATCTACACAGGGAGTTCCAGGACAGCCAGGGCTACATAGAAAGACCTTGTCTCAAGAAATCAGGCCAGCCGGGCGGCGGCGGCGGCGGCGGCGGCGGCGGCGGCGGCGGCGGCGGCGGCGGCGCACGCCTTTAATCCCAGGACTCGGGAGGCAGAGGCAGGCGGATCTCTGTGAGTTAGAGGCCAGCCTGGTCTACAGAGTGAGATCCAGGACAGGCACCAAAACTACACATAGAAACCCTGTCTCAAAAAACCAAACAAAAAGTTTTCATTTTTCTTTCCAATCCTTCCACTGGATCTACCAGCCGAGTGAACTCCAGGCTCCGGCCTGCAGATACGCTGTGTTGCTACTCGTGGAATGCGGTGCTAGGTCCCCATGAATTCAGAGTGCAATGTTGGCACATTTTTCTGTCTTCAGTTAGAGGCTGGGTCTTTGGGAACGTCTGCTGATGGTAAAATGCCGTGCCAGGGAGGGGGAGACACAGAAAAGAGAAGACGAGACGAGACAGGCCTGCCCCAGAGCGCAACATGGTACAGCCCTCCTCAGAGAACACTGACTGAGGAGGGCTGTTAGAACGAGTGGAGAGCTCATTTCTCTGTTCTCTGGGGTGGTGTGTGTGTGTGTGTGTGTGTGTGTGTGTGTGTACACATTCAAGTGTGCAGGTGATGTGCACAAACGTGTGTCTGCATGCAGTCATGTGGCCAGTGGTTGACACTGGGGGTCTTCCTGAGTTACCTCTCCATGTGGTTCTTTGAGGCAGGGTCTCTCACAGAACCTAGAGCTTACTGATTCAGCTAGGATGGCTGGCCAGCAAGCTTCAGGGATCCACTTGAATTAGTCCACTCCTGGCTTCTGTGTGGGTGTTGGGGTCTCAACTCAGGTCATCGTGCTTGCATGGTAAACATTTTACCAACTGAGCTTCGTGGCACATTCCTGTAATCCCAGCACCAAGAAGGCAGACACAGGATCCCTGAGGTTTGCTGGTCAGCCAGTCTACCCACACAGTGAGTTCTAGGTTCAGCAAGAGACCCTGTCTCAAAACACAAAGTGGAAAGCAATAGAGGAACAGCCTCTGCGCGCGCACACACACACACACACACACACACACACACACACACACACACACACACCCCTGAGAGTTACTAGGCAATGAGATTTATCAGTTGAAAGAGGGAAACATAAAGCTTCATCATTAACAGAAGGAAGGGTACAAACTAATCAATTGAGCACAGAGAACTAACATTCGAAACAAGACACAAAATCACAGAGACTAAACTGGACAGACCAGTGCAAGTTCTAAACCTGAGTTCTGCAGTCTCCCTGCTCAGGTGGCAAGGCAGAGAATGGGGTCCGCACTAGAACGCTGCTTGGAAAGGGTCCTCAGGGTGTCCCAGCCACGCTGGAGTTAAGTATTGCCATACGCGCAGTGTGTGGTCTCATGACGCTCAGTAAACTTAGGCGATGTGGTCTGAGGGAAAACAGCAGAGCAAGGGAAGCAGCCCCAGAGCGCAGTGTGGGCCTCCTCAGGAAGGGAGGAGAAGAGGAGGCAGGTCAGAAAGAATAATGCCAGCTCCCCAAACCCAGTGCAAGGGGCAGACATTCACCACTCAGGTCTCTTTATTTTTTTTAATTTTATTTTGCGATGGGTCTCCTTATGTGGGTCAGGCCGACCTCGCCATTCTTCTACCTCAGTCTCCCAAGTAGCTGCAATTACAGGCATGAGTCACCACAACGGTGCAAAGAGGTAACATTTGAACTTTGGGTTAAATGTGCTTTAAAGGGGTCTGGAGAGATGGCTCCCTGGTTAAGCAAGCTTCCTGCTCTTGCAGAGAAGTTCAGTTCCTAGCACCCACATCAGGTGGCTCATACCCACCTTTCTAGAACTTCAGCCCCGATGGGGTGATGCACACCTTCAGTCCCAGCACTAGGGAGGCAGAGGATCTCTTGAGTTTGAAGCCATCCCTGTACAAAGCAAGTTTCAGGACAGCCAAGGCTACACAGAGAAACCCTGTCTCAGAAAGAAAACAAACAAACACAAACAAATAAACCTTCCATGGGATCTGACACCCTCTTCTGGCTTCCATAGGTACCTGCACACATACACATGGCATACACTCACACAGACACACACAAAAGGAAAAATAAAATTAAATACCCTTTAAAAAATGCTTTAAGTGCCGGGCGGTGGTGGCGCATGCCTTTAATCCCAGCACTCGGGAGGCAGAGGCAGGTGGATCTTTGTGAGTTCGAGGCCAGCCTGGTCTACAGAGCGAGATCCAGGAAAGGCGCAAAGCTACACAGAGAAACCCTGTCTCGAAAAATAAAAAAAAAAATAAATAAATT